AATAAAAATGTTAACAATATGTAGGTATGTCTAGAAGATGAATTTGTTTTTCTAGCTATATTATTTACCTTCGAGAAAATCGCTAATTTTGTAATTAGTTTTACGGACTAGAATGTCGTGTAAACGTTTTTTGAAGACATTACTATTCAAGCTTTCTTTCATCTGGTAGGTAACTTATTTGAATTTTTGATGCCATGCAGTAAATACTCTTATGCAGTAGTGCCGTATTTGCTTTATGTAATCTTAATCTATTTTGTGTGTTTTTTTTCTCCTGTTACGAGTAACCGTAGCTGCCAGAGTCTCAAAAAGTGCTGGATTTTAATTTGTAAAAGTGTTAAGACAAGATAACGTCAGGATTTTATATTGTCTAAAGTAAGGTGCGCAGTTATCTTGTTATCTTAACATTAAACATCGCTCGTATACACCTTTTTTGGACTCTAAATACTACTTCTTCATTTGTATAATTGCCATGAAAGATTATACCATATCTGACATGCTAAGCAGTTGGCCCATGATATGCTGTGAGTAAGGCATCAATATTAAGCACGGGTGCAAGTTTAAAGCACACATAGCGCATGTGCTTTGTATATTGTCATCAATAGTTAGTCATAAATTTTTTGTCGTAACCTGGCCAATTTCAGTATTATTATAGTTAATTTCCAAAACTTTAAATGTTGGTATTCTTTGAGCAAATTGTATTAGTTTATTTTTATTTTTATTGATATTTAAATTATTATTATCTAGCCAATTCATAATATTCAATAATGGGGTGTTTATGCCAGCTCCGTATTAATTTTCATTTTTGCATTCTACAGTAACTGTACTATCATCTGCAAATAATGTAACAGGATGAGTGGTTACTTTGGGCAAATCATTAATATATAGGATAAATAAGAAGGGGACCAAGACACTACCCTGTCCCACACCATACTTTACTGTTCACATGTCAGAAAGAAACGTATGTTTCTTCTCTTTTATTAGCTTCTTTTATGTGTTTAATCTCTATGAATTGTTTGAGATCTGTCTCTGATCTGATCTGATCTGGATACGATCCTATAAAACTCAAAACATTTCCCCGTATACCACAGTGATCATGTTTAGCAAGTAAGAATTTAAGATCTACATAGTCGAATGCTTGAGTCATATTACAAAAGATAGCGCAGCTTGGTGCCTTAATATCCAATCTTGTCATTATAACATTTAAAAATCGTAAATTGCTTCTATTTGAACAGATACTGTAGACATTGTTACTTCTTACCTACTCGTGGACTAATAGTACACCCAAAAGTAATGAATCCTGCCTTAACTGCCTTCACGAAATGAAGATTAACTTTATGAAGTTGCCAGCAACAGCTCTTCCTCAAACCTGTTCGAATATGATTCGGACGAGCTAGGGTGTGCTGCTGCTAGCTGCGTGGGACAACGAGTGTCCCCAATCAGGCTTAAAATTCAGAAAAAGGGGAGAATATTAACTTGGTGTGTTCGATGGTCACTGCTGTTGATCGTGGAGTACAGGGTTACAGTGGTGGGCGTGTGGGAGGAATTAGTCCCATAACGATAACATCGAGTAGCAAGCTTGGTATACAAAATACCAAATCGCATAACCGCAGTATTAGCAACACGTGAAGGTACTAAGGTACCCGTCTGGCCAGCGTGGTATAGTAGGCCAAAACCTCCTTTCTAAGGAGAGGCCTATGTCCAGCAGTGGACTAGTATAGGCTGTTGATGTGTGTGTGTGTGAAGGTACTAAAATTTGAGAAAATTGTAGGTTATTGTAAAATTTTATTTTTGTTTTAAGGTCAGATTATAAACGAAAACACGGATATAACTTGAGAAAGGTAGAATTTAGGAGATCGTAAATTAAAAGTTGCAATAAACTACGAACGTTCAGACGGACTCGGAATACATTTTCTTTTTAACAGTCCAGTGTTGAGTTGTCACGATAAAAGAAGTCTCTAAAATGATAATTTAAGATAAGTATACTAGAGAGGTTAAAAGGCAAACTGAGAACAGAAACCAACAAGTTGCGTAGTCCTAATAAATGTTGCAATATAAATTGTATGGGCTATAAAGTTGAATATTTAGTGCGTAGTTGCCACAAGGACTTTCTAATGTTCTTCTAATATACATGGGCATAACACAGATAACCTATTAAACGTCGAGAAAATAAATTACGTGGATGCGATAATCATTTGAAAGTTTTACGAGATTATTTAAGTGAGAACACTCGGGCTTCTCGCCAAAAGGCAGTTCGGTATAAAGCCTACACTCTCCAATCCACCCGTATTTGTCCCAAACGGGCAAAACGGCTCATTTGGCAATGGCATTAAGCATAGAGATATAACCATAGAGAGAAAACGGGGTACAGCTGCCTGTAAGTGGAAGCGATACAAGTAACGAGAGAGATCAATGACCGATAGTTCCCTCTGTCTCAGTTTAGCTAAGCTGCGATTAGCTACTTATTAACCTCTCATATTCCCCAGACAACGATAAAGATGGGCTAGAAAGAGTTAGAGTGGACTGTCTGTTATCCATCTCTGTCGTTTATATTGCAAGATGGGGGCTCTTGTTCTCTCTAGGTTATATCTCTATGTCTTTAAGTGATCCTGCTTGAGGGTCGGACGGGGGCGTTTGGGTTTCCATTGGTCACTCGGTGAAATGCTAGACACTTAACATTGGTGTTCCGTGAGACCGTGATATAACTCCTGTTTAGCCGGCCCCTACGTGGCGAAGTATTCAATATAGGTACTCTATTGTCTTAATATCCCTACTTTCCTTTTAATAATGGGTTATATGAGTTCCCTATTATAAATAAAAACCCGTTTAATCAATAATCACTAATTTTAAAACTCTCCTTGAATAACTTATGACTTGAGTTCAACACATCGTGTAGTCGATAGTTAATTAGACTAATGCATCGAAATAATAAGTACGTCAAATGTGTGAAAGAAAAACTTATATTTTTTAACAAAAACAAAGGAAAAAAACCAGTTATTATTAAGAACCACACTTAACGTAACAAAACATTGAATCCGTAATATACATAATTAAAAAATGGGGTGTTACAAAGCTCGGCAACCGTAACCAAAACTATCGGATATCCGAAATAACAAAACACTCAATGATATAATATGAGATAGTGTGCTAATTTTGTTGTTCGAAAACTCTCTAGTTAAGTTTAGTCCTGTCAACCAACGTTTCTAAATATTTTTTTAGTAATTTTTAGTTCAGTTTAGAGAGTTTTCGAACTAAACAATTGGCACTGGTATCTACCTAATCATATTTATCCAAACGGCATTTGAATTCGAGTAAGAAATACGGGCAGCTGTAAAAGTAGTATAAAATAACATGGAACAAATGGGACAAAAATCGTAATTTTAATGTTATTTGTTACATCAGTACTTCAGTTGAATCAAAAATCGTAATTTTAATGTTAATTGTTACATCAGTACTTCAGTTGAATCTACATCAGGCAGTTTTACATAAGAACTGCCTTCATGGAACTACTGGGAATAAACTGGGTATTATTAAACATTACAAAGCTCGCATGTATTTTCTACTAGTGGCATCTAGTACTGAATAGTGAAGTAGCAGAGAAACTCCATCTAGTGCCAGTTTTTAGTATTAACTAAGCACTTGAGCCAGCTGCATATGCTATAGGTGTGTAGTCTTCGCGCATTATCCTACTATTTTAAAGATACTTCAAATTGAACCTAAAACCTACGAGAGAATATAAACTTTTCAATATGTCGTTTTACGTGTTATTATGATCACATTGACATTGGTAAAATAAAAAAATCACTGCCGAAATGTGACATCGTTGACCCATTTTTAGTTACTTAGTCAATTTTACGCAACAATACTAAGCAATTCTATATTTTTCTAATATAACTTCTAAGATAAACCTTATTTTTATAAGAGTATTGTGTTTTGAATAGCCTAAATATATTTTTCTCCTGTTCCTGTTATTTGTGATATTATTCTAAATGGTGTTGTTGAAAATATGACTTATTTAGTGCCGAGTTAACTGATTACCTGTTAAATACCTAAAATGTTACGGTTTCTTTACATTTAGCTATTAAAAGTGTTAACCGCTGAATTTTTCATTAAAAATGTCTTTTGTGAAATGCTGTTTTGAAGCTGGAGAGGGTCATGACTTTTTAGATTCCTTCGTCCAAAAATGCACAGATCCTGGCTGTAAGTATTTTATATTAATATTACGTGGAAAATAACACAACTTCGAAAATTAAAATAAGCATTGTTATCACTCCATCAGAATAAGGCGCTGCTGGTATGTTCCTTAAATTATTGATTACCTTTTCATAATTGCCGCCAAGGCCGTAAGTTGCACCTAACTTCACGCTATCAAGGTTTTCCGGGATGCGTTACCGAATATCAGTTTTTTAAATTAATAAACTCATTTCTAAAAATCATATTAATTTAAAACTTAAATTTTTAAGATTAAACTTATAATAACTAAACATTTAAAAATATTTTAAGTCTCGAATATTTTTTTTTTTATTTAAAATAAAAGTGAAAATATTTTCTGGGTGGCACTGGAACGTAACTTCAATTCAATCGACTGACTCACATCACAGTGTCTTGTATTTTGTATTTGAATATCACATTTATTCTGTAAAACAGAGGAAACCTGAGTGTAGTGAACATAATGGCTCATGGTACGTCTTAGTTTTTAATTTCATTTTAATTATAATAAATTAGACGGATATTTTGTTTACAAAGCTGGACTTTGACATATGTTGACTTAGTGGTGCCATCTTGTGTTGTCACTGTCATTCGTTTCATTCGTTTTCATTTGCGCTAAGCGTACTCGATATAACTTATTGTAGTGTTTTATTATATAGTCTCGTAAAATTATCTATAAAACTAAATTAAACTCAAAACGAATATCATAATTGACTTATAATATGTGATAAGTGACAAGGGTTTAACGAAGGTTGATCAAAAACCGTGTGAAAGGTGTAAGGAGACACGACATTATGGCTACAATACCTACAATAGTCCAAAATCAGTCCAAACCAAGCGTGACAACGCCGGCCAAACCTATAAAGAACACGGGACGGAAAATTGTACTTACGTTACACAACTGTCTACTGCCAGAATCCGCATTCAAAGAAACACCATCACAGGCCGATGGCCTTGACATAGAGACGGAAACAGATCTTCGCATCCTCGGCTGTGAGATGATACAAACCGCCGGAATCCTGCTCAAGCTGCCCCAAGTCGCTATGGCAACCGGACAGATGTACCTTCAAAGGTTTTATTACTCGAAATCTTTTGTCAGATATCCTATGGAAACAATGGCCATGGGAAGCATTTACTTAGCATCTAAAGTTGAAGAGAAACCATGTAGGATACGTGACGTGATCAATGTTTTTCATCACATTAAGCAAGTTAGAGCACAAAAGACCATTAGTCCTTTAATAGTAGATCAAAATTACATAGAACTGAAAAATCAAGTTATTAAAGCCGAGAGGCGTATTTTAAAAGAATTAGGATTCTGTGTCCATGTGAAGCATCCACACAAACTAATTGTAGTATATCTACAGCTCCTACAGTATGAGAAGAACCGTCAGCTAATGCAATTAGCATGGAACTACATGAATGATGCTTTACGCACAGATGTGTTTATGAGATTTCCACCGGAAACTATTGCTTGTGCTTGCATATACTTGACAGCTCGGAAAATTGGGTTACCATTACCAAACAATCCACATTGGTTTCTGCTATTCAAAGTAACTGAAGAGGATATCAGAGAAGTGTGTATTCGCATCTTGCAGTTGTACAAAAGGGCTAAAGTTAACCCAGAAGAGTTAGAGAGTAAAGTGGATGGCTTGCGAAGGATTTATCAAGCTAACAAACAAAAACAGGCTCAAAAAGAGCAAGAAAATTCCAAGACTGAAGATAAAAAGGCAGATTCTCCAACTGCATCTACATCAAAAGAGTTGAACAGAAGAGACAAGAAGGAGAAATCACCGAAAACACCTCCGTTGTCTTCCAAGTATCACAGCAGTCATAAATCTAAGAAAGATAGAAGATCTCGTTCCCCATATGACCGTAAAAGGGAGTATTCTAGCAAAAGGCACAAGTCACGTTCAAGGGAGAGAGAGTTGGATCGTTCTCGGGAGCGACGGCAAGATGATAAACGAGGTAGGGGCATCTCCAGGAAGTATGATGATTATGACAGATCAAAGTCAAGTAGAGATGGCAGAGAAAGCAGAGACGGCAGAGAAAGCAGAGATGAGAAGAGAAAACACTAGATTATGTTAGATGTAAGTGCTTTTGAATGTAATAAAAAAATAATATAAATTGTTTGTTTTATTTATTTTAAAATATTTATATTGTACAGGAACTAGAAGTGATATGTATGTGTAAAATCAAAAGTAAATTTATAATGATCACACACTCACAACACTGTCACACATAAATACACATTACTTACACATACTACACTAACACATATTAGATACATTCATTAGCACACTACACATTTTAAAAATTGTTAATACATGCTTTCTTTATTTTGCAAAAAATAATTCTACTGAAAATTGCTTTCGTTCGAGAGCTGCAATATGGGCTTTGCCTAGTGCAGCTTTCACTGATATTGTAATGACATGTAACTGCTAATAAATATTATTATTAATGTACATATTCTCATACACTTAGTGGCTTTGTATATCTTTTGCCACTAATGCCACAATTCATAATGATTAAACCCGCTAAAGGGCGCATGAAAATAAATGCAAAGGGATACATCTTATAGATAACTTTTAAATTTGAAAAGCGCTGCCTTAGTTCTCTCTCTCTTCCATTCCCAGACTAGACAAAAATTTATAGGTTTTTCCTGAGAGGAAAAATAGCCTTACTCCTTATATAGCCAGCTACCAGTTTGTAAAATATTATCAAAATCGGTACAGCCGTATTGAAGATTACCTAGAACAAACAGATAGACAAACAAAAAATATTGGTTTTTAGGCATAGGTGTGCAAACAACCGTTTGAGCATGAAAAAACTTTAATCTTTTGACATTACAAACAGACACTTCAATTTATTTATTTATATTGATATAATAATGAAAACTAGACACATCTCACACATGGTCTTCTGATCCCAAACTGTTTTTAGACATACTAATTCTTTTCTTTCTTTGCCTGGCCCTTTCCCATTTTATTTGGGGTAAGCCTCCGTATCATGTGTCTCCAGGCAGCTCGGTCCTGGGTCATCTCTTTGTTGACGTGGGCTTCTTTGAGGTTCCTATTTACTACGGACGTCCATGTGATTCGGGGTCTTCCTCGTCCTCGGGGTTTGGTCTCAATATCTAGCACTTTTCTGGTCATATCGCTGGATGGTCGCTCCATAACGTGTCCGTACCACCGCATACTAATTCTTATTTATTAATTAATTATAATAATATAAATAATCATGTTCATCACACAACTATCTGTAACCGAGTAGCAGTTGCCGTGGTGCAGTGGTAGTCTCAGGTTTGATTTAGGGTCCTACCAAAAAACTTTGTATGATCTGAAAATATTTGTTATATATGTAAATATCTATACAGATATATATATATGTATATTATTATTTATCTATTGATTGTTGTTTTAAAAGAATACTGCAGTAGGAACTATTCTGTGTCACGGGGTACTTTTCAACATAGATGAAACGGACACAAGGAATACTGGGTATTCACTCAGAACTTAGAACAACAATTTGTGGATCACACAAAGTGTTGTCCCATGTAGGGATTGAACCCACAACACTTAGCGCAGTGGGAAGCGATGCGAGGTGATCGCAGTCGATTCCGTGCATCTATGATAACTATATATTTAGAAATATATAAGTATGCTTATCAGCAGTCTGGTTACGCAGGCTCTCTCTTATTTGAAATCAGACGGCCATGTGTGAGGTGTGTGATGTTATTATTATTGTTTTAATTTTGTTAGTTTTAAGGCCCCGAACGGGTTTAAATTATCAGATTTCACGGGCCATAGCTAAGTGTAATCAGAATTTAAGTGATGTGAATGAAACTGAAAATGTAGTGAGGAATTTCTGAGTGAGTGAAAACTGCTGTCTGAGGGCCAAGTTCGGGTTTCTTTCATATTTACTCGCTCTCGAAAGCTACAGTTAAGACCTCAGTGCGGGCCAAGTACATCAAGTAGATGCGAAATAAACTCACACTTGGGCCTGTGGTGCAGATGTGGCGAATATTACAGCATTACTAAAATGAGCGCAATGTTTAAGACATTTTGGTATAATTCCAATATTGGAACTTATATAATATGTTTACTGCTCGCCACTGCCGTTTCAGTTTTATTATTTTATCTAGTCCTGCTCTAAATATTGTTACAAAGAAATGTCTTTTTTGTTCTAATGCATAAAACATTTATGACTGTAATGTGTAGTCAGGCCCGCCGATAGCTGTTTAAGCGCCCGCGTGCAATGCCCCGATACCCCTACAGGACGACCGGTGGGTGGTTACGTAGGGCTCGAAGCGACTAAAACCTTACGCCGTCTCGGTTACCAGTAGTCGCGAAACTAAGTGTAACCTAGAAAGGAAATCCCTGGTATCCTCACGGACCCCAAGTCATCTACGGCTTACCGATGGCACCCTCGTGTATGGTAACCTACCAGTGTTCCCTTTCTATCTCTAAAGGGCGCCGCCCCATGTCACCCCCAAGCCTGCGCTTATGAAGGACCGAGTTCATTCGTGAATATATATTTTCGGTAATTGGCGTCGATCATAACATACATAGCATAATTATGTTCGAACATAACTCCGTCATATATAAACGATTTTTTTTAATTATTTTCTTGTTCGAAAGGGTTTTATCCCGAAATGGTCCCATTTAAATTTCATATAGATGCGATGATGAGTTTCGGAGACAGACAACAGAACTTTTTTTTAAATGACAGCATGTCAACGCGAATGCTGCTAGGTTTTTAGTGCTTTGTTAGTATTGTTTGAAGTCGGTTCAACTTTTTTAAAGTAGGATTTTCTTGTTTGATCTTCTTGCTTATTTATGACGACTCGGTTATTTTTTCTTTGTTAAATTCTACTTAAAGAAAACCTGTTGTTGAAACCGCATCAAGCTCGTTTGCGTGGCTTAGAATAATTAAGCGGATATGACAGACGCGTAATACGACTTCTTTTATATCATGTAAAAATGAAGATGATAAAACTTGGGATGGCCTTATGTACATGTTATATCGCCGTCATGTGGGAATGGCATTGAAATAAACAATTATACTTATAATTATAATAAGTACCTACACTACGAGTAATAATATTTTTTTATGTAAATTACCGTCCGTGTGGTGACGGATTAAGAATACAAATTGTCACCACCCCAATTCATCCCGTGGGTGTCGTAAGAGCCGACTAAGGGAGCAAACTAAGCAGGACAGCAGCACTACAAAGAGAAGGAAAACTTGAAACAAACCCTATACCAACCCGTCTGGCCAGCGTGGTATAGTAGGCCAAAACCTCCTTTCTAAGGAGAGGCCTATGTCCAGCAGTGGACTAGTATAGGCTGTTGATGATGTAAATTACAACATTCTTGTATTTAATTTCGATATTAATACTCGTAAATACGTCAGTCAGTCAGCTACGGTTCCGTTTATGAGCGGCGCACTCCCACGCACAAAGAAAAAGAAAAATATTCAATCATTTCCTCATAACTACGGAACGGAACCGCAGCTGACGTTCACGAGGCTTTATGGTGCTACTCCTAGATGCATCTCACCAATTTTATCGTTCGTGAACTAATAATCTATAAAATTTTTACGCAGTCCCTGGACTACTACTTCTTCCCTTTTGCATTTCTAATTTTGTGCTCACTTTTTATGATTTTCGTCTTTCCTCTTTTAATATATTTTCTCTCACCGATCTTAAATATACCTACTAACTAGTGTGCATTTAAGATGCGAAACTTGTTGTAAGGCAAATTATGTGTTATTTATTATTTTAATCCATTTTGTTTATTAATTTAGGTGTTACCCGAAAGATCTTCGTCGTAAATCCTAAAATGTATAAAATACGTCTGAAATTTCCTTTAAAAGAATAATATCCTCATGATACCTAAATATTTATTAGATATACTGATAAGTATTGCCAACATGTCACCCTCAGCTCATCCCTTCCTAATGAGCACACACATCTATTTTAAGGGTATCTAATAATAATTTTGTCTATTCGTCGCCAGTACGCAACGTGAATCCGTGTCGATAACCTGTCGCTTTTACGGTTACGAAAATCAATAGCGCAATAAAATTTTAAAAGTGATTACTTTAAAGTGTGAAGTGTATCTCAATCTAGACTAATACATATTTGATAGTACGTTTGACTAAAGTAGTATCAAAGGCTTCTTAAAAGTCGATTTATATTTGCGGGAATTGTCATTTTATTTCATAGTTGTGTCACTATACTAATAATCTTTGTTTTTATGAACATAGTTATCAAATGGTACAAATATGTCGTGACGATTAAATGTAGGAATGTGTCAAGATATGGCATGCATGCATTTTAAAACCGTCAATTTTAAGTAACTGTGTATAGGTACTTAATGTGTTATCTAGTTTATTAGATATCGATAATATGTTATTGTGTTACGGAATAATAACTTTCTGAACAAGTATTCAAAAACACTCTTAACTTTTTAGCAAAACGTTTCTAAATTAATGATTTAATATTTAAAAATAATCCACAAACAATTATAAATGAATTCACACGTTGTCAATCATTTTCACTGCAGGAGTTAAGTTCTTCGTTGAAAAACCGGATAACTTTGGCCGCCATTCTTCGGCACGTAGGACATTTTAGAAAACTTTTAAACTTTCGCGTTCCATGATAATTAATATTATTTAACGGGAATTAAGCGAAGGAGACGGCACCAGCCGTGGTCACAGGCTGACTGTGACCACGGCCGGTGCAACTTGGTCGAAACGTCAGGCAAACTAGAGGTATGTAATACCCTAAATAAGAGATCGCGTTAATTCCCGTTAAATAATATTAATTATCATTTTAGAAAATCTGTAATAAAGGATAGACATAATGCATGGACTTAGTCTAGATATTTGTGTTGCACCGCTTAGAATGAAATTTAACTCAAACCTTAGCCGTCTGGTACGATCGTATTTGAGAACCACGGGAGTCCGTTATTCTTATACCTTTATACCTTTTAAATGCCTCACGTTTCGAATAGAAGGCCAATGCTCGTAATAAAAGTTCGGTCACAATTCAGTGCCGATCAACTCTCGATCT